TCCTACCAGTTACCTGGCTGGGGCTGGGAGAAGGGTGAGGGAAGGTAGAAAGGGTACGGGTGTGGTGACCAGAGCTTGGGGCACCCCCCCAACTCTGGTCACGGAGGGGGGTGCCCAGGAGGCGGGAGGTGAGAGATGAACAGCCCCGGGGTAGGGGGGGCCCTGGAGTGGGAGTAAGACATGCCGGGCTTCCGGCCCAGGGCATGGCGGCCGGGCCTCCCTCCCCTTCTCTAGACCTTGTCAGGGCTGAGGAGCTGCCCCTCCGAGTTCAGCAGCAGTGGCTTCTTAGCAACCCTGGTGCAGCTTTGCATCAGCAAGGAGGCTTCTCCGGCTGGGGGTGTGTGTTGCGGAGGCAGCAGGAGTGGTCTGGGGGCGATGGAACCAACCTGCTGGGGGCCTTTTCTGCACTCACCCAGCCTGTCTGCCCGCCTTCCGCTTCTGACAGCTCCAACAGCTGACGGGGGGGGGGGGGGGGGGGGGGGGGGGGGAGTGGGGAAGGGGAGGCGGGTGTCGTCAGCTTTCGGAGCCTGTGACTCGAGATGGCCCCGGTTCACCCAGGGTGATGCTGTGATCCATCTCTGGGACGGAGTGCTCCTTCCTGGGGCTCGAGTCCCCCTTCCCGAAGTCCCTGTGTCTCATGGCTCTCCTCTCTCTGCCTCTGTCCCTAGTTCTGGCACAAAGCATGCTTCCACTGCGAGACCTGCAAGATGACACTCAACATGAAGAACTACAAGGGCTACGAGAAGACCCCCTATTGCAACGCGTGAGTCCTGCCTCCCTCCCTCCTCCTTCCTCCTGTTCCAGGATGTTGCCCAGCACTGCCGCACAATACCTGATAAGCACTCGTCACCTTTAGGCCTCACCTCAGCCGGATGAAGTAAGGGCTGCTAATAGGCCCATTTTACAGGCAGGGAAACTGAGGCCGGGGAAGGGAACGGACTCGCCAGATGACATGGCTAGTGAGAGGCTGGTTCAAACCCAGTAAGCATGCTCCTCTCTGCCAAGCAAGCCTGTTCCCTCCACTGCGCCCTGCTGCAAGAGTGGGGCCCAGTGCGGCCCTTCAGGAGACAGTGCTCTGCCCTGTTGTGTTTGCCTTTCCTCATTTCTCTCTCTTCCTTGCCCCTGCCAGAGGGTCTGGGCCCTAGGCTCTGGGGGCTTCTGGCTCCAGCCCTTCCTGGTGTCCATCCCTTGAGAACCAGGGGCCACATGCAGGGGGCGCCTGGCCTGGGGGCAGATCTCTTTCCTCCCTTCCCGGTGAGGGAGGCTGTGGAAGGCTGTGGAATCCTTCATGTCTTTCCCAGTGGAGTTGGCTGGGGGTCTGTCCCTTCTGCACGGGAGCCTGCAGCCCGTCCTGCTGCGGGGAGGTAGGGAGAGGTAGGGTAGGACACCATCCAGAAGGACACCCCCTTCCCATCCTGTGCAGTTCCAGAGAGTATACCACCTGCAAGCTGACCTCATATGCAGCAACTGTAAACTCAGCGTGGGGGCCCCTGCGTGTGCGGGACCTCACGCCCCGCCTGCCAGGTGAGGGCTTCAGAAGGTCAAGTGACTAAGTAGTGGCAAAATCAAAATTCAGAAACGTCCAGGACCTGACTTGAGTCCAGGCTTTTTCTCCGTCACGAGGCTCTTTGCTGCTGAAGTTCACCAAGGAGGGGAACACTGGGACTCAGCTGAAAGGGCTGGGGGGCTTAAGCCCCTTTGAAAGGCTATCTCCCCCTTACAGCACCCCCAGTGCCCTCTGAACCCCACTGTGTCATCTCCCTGGGGTTTGGACATCCATGAGGCATTTCCTGCCTGCTAGCTGCTCTCTGCCAGCCTGAGCCAGGTGCTGGCAAAAAGAGATTTCTGGAAGCAGCTTGGACGTTGTCCCTTCTGGGAGGGACTGGGGCACTGGGAAGGTTGCCCCCGGGGAAGAAGGAGGGTCACAGCTCTGTCCTGGCTCCTCCTTCAGCTGCCTCTGCTCTTCTATTAGCTTCCACTGATCGTCTTCCCCCTACCAACCCCTCCCACCCCCCCCAAGGGAAATGGGACATTCTTAGAATTCTTAAGGGCTCACACAAGCCCTGATTCTCTGCCACTTCCTCCCTCTGTTGGGGAGTGGGGTGGGGTTCAGTAAAGCCAGAGGCCAGGGGCAGTGTAACCCCTTCGTGGCTGGACCACGCGAAGCTGGGTCCTGGGCACCGAGGCTCCTTTGGGGGCAGCTGCTGAGCCTCTGCCCCTCCAGGCAGAAGTGTGGCTGAGCCCGGAGCCTGGTGTGGGTGGCAGGGACTGATGCTTACTTACATCTCTTCGTAAGACTCTAGTAGCCTAGAATTCAGTGAGCATTGGGAGTTGGCGAAAGAAGTCAGAGGCTTGTCCTTGTTTTCTCTGCATTTTCTCAGCCTAGTGCCAGAGTCCCAGCTTAGCTGTTCTACCCTCTTCTGGGGAGGGTGCAGCAAGTGGGGCTGGGGACTCCTGCAGATGTTGGGGTCTCCAGGGAAGGCAGAAGATGAAGCAGCTCTTCCCGGATGCTGCTTCCCAACTGCCCAGGCAGAGAGGTTCCTGTCTGTCTCCTGGCCCCTGGCCAGAGAAGCAGGTTGGCCCCTTGTTCCCCCAGCCTTTACAGCCCTAGCCTCTGCCCGGCCCCATTGACCTTTGGCCCAGCTGGGATGTTATCTAGGGAGGACTCTGAACGAGGGCGGAAGCCTTGGTGGATGTGTGGCCCCGCTGTGTCTCACTGTGTCTCACTTCAGCCAGGAGTGAGGAGAGTCGCACCTTGCCCGAGGCACTCACTCCCTCAGCTGGGCTTCTGCTGGGCAGTCGGTCTGGGCCCGCCAGCCTGACCTGGTGAGTCCAGAAGGAGCCGGATGTAGTAGGCCTGGCCTGCAGGGAGTACCCTCTGGACCTGTCCAAGCTTCAGGTTCTCCACGGTTACGAATTCCTCCCCAGGGATGCCGGCCCCTAAACCAAAGAAGATGAGCCCCTGCCACGTGCCGGGCCCTGTGCTGACGTCCCCTCTCATTTCCCCCTGTTCCCTTTCTGCCTCTGGCCCCATCCTCCAGGGGCATTCAGGTTCTTGAATCTTGGGGTTTCCCAGGGTGTAGCTGTGCTCCCACTCCCCTCCTGGCCTTGCTTTGTAGACCTCAGGCCTGGCTTCCTTCTCAGCAGTACCTCCTGCTCAAGACCCAGAGGGGCTGGTGATCTCTCCCGGCACTTTGCCAGGGAGTTGGACCCCCTCTGTGGGGGAGGCTTCTGTGGTGTGCCTGTTTCTGGCCAGTCCCTGAGCCAGGATCTGGCAGAGGGGTGGTCAAGAGAGAAGAAGGCTGTCTGTCATTCCCCAGTGGCTTCTCAAGACTGAGATTTTAAAATGTTCTAGAAAGTGACTGTTAAGCAGCAAAAAGCCCTCTTCTATTTCTCTTCTTGCACCAGACTTGTTTTGGGGTTAGGCAGCAGAGAGAACAGGCTAGAGCTCACAGCCAGCCTGCTGGGTGGTCATGGACCCCCACAAACATGCCCTTAAACACACGCCTGGTGCGTATCCAGGCACACACGCTTGGATGTGGGGCTGGGGAGAAATGCCAAGGAGTCAGACTGAATGGGCAGCGTGTGTGCGTTCCCAGTTCCCAGGCACAGCCACCCGGGCATTGCTGTGACTAGGTAGAGGTGTGTCTTTCGGCTTGTGTACAATGGCTGGTGGTATAAGAACCACCGGCAAATTCTTCCGCGAAACTTCCAGGTAGGTGGGGTGAGCCTGCTTGCTCCCTTGGTTAGGGGAATATTTTATACCCTCGATTATTTGTTTTGTAAATTATGTTTTGTGAAAGTGGAGCTCATGTGTCCACACGGACAAGCCTGCCCCTTTGTCTCCATGCAAATAGTCTAGGAGTGTGGAGGTCAGGGGTGGGGTGGGGTGGGGAGAAATGGGACCGTTCCCTCCTCCTTGGGGGCCAGGAGTTAATGGAGTTAGGCTGCGCACCCCAGGCAGAGATTCAGGCCAGGGGAACCAGCTTTTGGGGGTATCAAGTGTGGGGGTGGACATAGACCGGGGAAGGAAGGGGGGACATTCAGATGCACCTTCCCCCTCTTCACTGAATACAGATTTCCAGATCCATCCTTCAGTTTCCTTGAGCTGTGTGGTGGGGGGGCTGAGGACGGTGGAGATGGCCCAGGCTCCGGAGAACAAGGGTCTATCATCCTGCTCCTTCCCTCAGGTTCTCAGAGTGTGGGGTGGGGTCTGTGCTGGTGGGATTGGGGGCTCAAAGTGTCTCTGGATTCTAGCAAACTGTCTCGAATCCCAGCTACTCTTAGGGATGGGGCGTTGGTGGGTAAATCCAGGACTGGGGCCTGGAGCCTTCCCACTTCCCTCTTTCCTGCCTCTGATGGGCAACAGTGGGATCAGATGTCCCAGGGAGCGGGTATCGTGCCAGGGGTGGGAGTGAGAGGGGCGTGTGTGATGTGTGCTTGGGGCGGAGGAGGCGGGCTCAACGGGGCATCCACAGTGGCCAGATGCACGGCCCCCAATACCACCGCTCTCATCCCTAAAGCCTTACACGCAGAGATGTCGGGGCCTCAAGGAACCTCAGAGATCACTTTGTTTCCTAATGCCCCATTTTAGAGATGAGGAAACTGAGGCCCAGTGTTTGCATGCCTTGCCCAACTTGGCAGAATCACTTCTTTTTATGTACTGCCATCAGGGACGGGTACCAGCTTTGATTTTTCATCTTGTCTCCAACGCCTGAGGGCTGGTAAGTTCTTCTTCACGTCTGGCCTTGATCTTTCTGGCTGCTCATTTTTTTCCTCTGGGTCAAACAATGCTTCCTTGTTGCTTCCTATCCCCACCATTTCAGCTCCTCAGGCCTGGGGGACGGGTGAGAAACTGGGTTAGAAAGGAGCCCCCCCCCCACCCACATGGGCAGTGTTCCCAGCAGGGGAATCAGCAGCTCCTTCCAGAGGCAGGATGTAGGGGCTATTTTTTTTTTCTTTTGGTAAAACCAAAGGCTCCTTGTTGCTTTTGTTGATGTATTTTTGTTCCTCCCTGAACAAAAAGCTGTGGTTTTTGAAGGGGTCCAAGGCTGGAAGGGGCAAGGTTGCTTGTAGAAAGGGGGAGCTGGGCTTTCAGGATCTCTGGTCTATTCTGGCCCTGGCTCTGCCTCTGGAATGCGGCGGAGGGCAGCAGCAGAGTGGGACTGTGCCCTGTCGCCAGTGTGTCTGTAGCAGGGGCCTCGCAGCTTCTCAGCATCCTCCCTGCCCTTCTAGTCCTTCTGAACAGGAAGGTGACTCCAGAGGTCCTTAGGGCAAACCCCAGAGAGGCAGAGGACCCTTCGCCTGCATCCATGTGGGTCATTATCTATACTCTTGAGACACCTGCTTTAGAAAAGTTTTAGGGAGTAGGTGGCTTCTGATTGTCCGCCTGCCTTCTGACCCCCAGAGGGTCTCTCACAGTGACCAAGCGTGGGAACTGGTTGGGGTTGAAAGATAAAGTTCTTTGTTCGCCACCCACCCCGCCAAGTGCCTCTTTTTCCAGAGCTCTGAGAGCTAGCCGTGTGGACTGGGGTCCATCTGAGAGAGAGGTCAGCCTGCCCTTAGATGGCCAGGCACTTGGGGGGAGGGGGAGTGCACTGGGCGAGGTCTTTGTACTTGACACTGAGCATCAGTTTCTTTATCTGTAAAATGGGCACAATGAGAATGCCTGCCTTTCCTAACCCAAAGCCTTGTGGCAGATTAAGGGAGAGTGGACACAGGATACCACAGGGCACACCCCAAATCAAGGCACTTGATGTGCCCGTAAATTCTCCCAGAGGCCTCAGCTGCTGCAGCCACGCTGCCTGATTGCCCTGCGGGTCCCTGCTCTTTCCCTCATGGCTGCTAGATCCCTTCCCCTGCCCCCCCCCCCACCCCCAGGCTTTCCGTCCTAGTGGACTTGGACCGTCTCCATGCCTCTCTCTCTTCCCCAGAGCAGCTGATGCTGCAGTCAGAGGTGGGGAGGGGCGTCAGTGGAGGGCCCACTGCCTGGGGTAATGAACAAGGGGCTGGGTGCAGCCGGGCCCATGGAAGGGACAAAGAACAGCTCTGCTCTGCACCCAGCTTCAGGTAGGGTTGGGACACCCAGTTCTTCCCACCCTGCCCCCCCACCCCCGTTACCTCACTGTGGCCCGGGCTGTTGGTGGGGCTGGGGTCCCAGCTGGGGTGGTAACCCCAGGGCGGCCTCTGTGCCCTGCATTGGCTTTCGCGCACATCCATTCATCCCGACTGGGGTCTGAGAGTAATGGGTGGGGAGAGCTTCAGCCTGAGGACAGAGAGGGAGAGAAAAGGTAGAATTCCCAGCAATGGTCTCTGGAAGAAGGTCAGATCAGTTGCAGCCCTTCTTGGAAGGCAGTCGTGTGGGTGGGGGAAGGGCACAGCACCCGCGTTCGTGCGTCCTCCCCCCTGAAACACACCCGAGGCACCTGTCTTCCTCACTGACACTGTCTGCAAGGATCCTGCATTCACAGCCTCCTGGTTTTGCCCTCGTGGGCTCCCCTGCAGCTGAGGACAGCCTGGCTGTCTGCGCATCTCCCCCCACCCCCACAGACTCTGTGTCTGCCCTGCACTGCTGCTCTCCAGCCTGGAGCTGAGGATGGGGTTGCTATGGGAACGTGAAGCGCAGTGAGCAGGGGAAGGGAAAAGGCACTGCTGGCTCGCCAGGGCCAGGGGCTGTGGGGAGGGGACAGGTTTGACCCAGCAGGAGGAAGAGATAACTGCCTGCCTTCCTCTGGTCCAGGGTTGGGGTCCAGGAGGCAGGCTAAGAGATTGGAGGCTCTGGAGCGCCTCTTGAATTTAGTTAATCTGATGCAGGATTAAAATCTCCCCTCCCCCCCTTCCCGCTAGATTAAGCTGTGTGAACATCTAGGCTGGTCTCCCCTTCCCTTCTGACGGGATTGGTGTTTTGGCCCTGGGGGCCTGAGATCTGGGGGTCATGGTGGCTCCAAGGAGAAGGTGAAACACCTCACAGTCCCATCCAGAAGCACTCGCTGCATATTGGGGGGGGGGTCTCCCAATAACGTTCTGGTGCAGTGGCAGAGACAGGTCCGACTGGCCCCCGTGTCTCGGAGCCGCGCATCGCTGCAGAGGGCCCGTGTCTGCATTCCGCGGGTGTGGACACTGTAGGAGCCTCGGAACTGCACGTCAGCCGCCCGCGTCGGGCTTTCCTTGGGCCACCGGAACTGGCATTCCATTTTAACCTCGTACATTCAGGCAAATGGGAAAAGCCCAGGTTTGCAGACTGGCTGCGGAGCACATGTATTAGCCGAGTCTGCCCGCCACCCTTCCCCACCAAATGCTAAGCAGCACCATCTCGGAACGGGCCAGAGCTGCCCGGAGGTCTTCCCCTCGGGTCGCCTGCTTCAGGACCTCACCTCCCTCCTCTGCCACCGATGCTCTCCTCACCACACCCCCCACCCCGTGACACCCTGGGAAGGGCTCTGATTTGGTGGGAGGGCCATCTCTGAAGCCTTCCCTCCTAGGACCTCAAGGCCAGCCAGTTCTGCTAGAGATCCTAACTTGGATCCCTCCTGCCGTTCTCTTTCTAATCTCCAGAAGCAGACTCCCAGTGGACCCTCCCTTTTTCTCGAGCTGCTGAGGAATTTTGAACGGAGCACCTCAGCTGTGGGTGGCCCTGGCTTCCTGCAGCTGGGCCAAGCCTGGGGCGTGGACCCGTAGCCTTAGCCCTGCATTCATCCCCAGGCCATTTCTGTTGTCAGCTGTAGGCACCTGTGTTTATTTTTCCTCTTCCTTCCTCTGATGGGGGAGCTGAGGGCCCGAGCTGAGCCCACCTGGGAGGCAGGACCCAGGTGGGGCAGTGGAGGCTGGGGGAGGGGCACAGCTGGAATCGCCTAGGTCCAGGACAGTGAAACCAGCCCAGGAGGAAAAAGGATTTGCTAAAGTCACCCAGCGAGTCAGTGGCAGGGCCAGAGCCCAGCACTGTGTCCATTGTAGTCACTCCTCCCCCACCCTGATTTAGTTCTGCAAACCCCAGTCCTACCCTTCACAAGTGGTGGCTGGGGGGGGGGTCACGTGTTCACAGGTAGCGCTGGCTCAGGGTGGTGACCGCAAGAACCTCCCAGCTTTGGTGAGCGCACAGTAGGGCAGCTCATTTCCGGCTCTAGGGCATGTTGGCCAGGCCAGCCGGGGTGGAACATGCCTGGAAGGCAGCGCTCCATCTCTTACCTGAGGACAGCCTGTGACTTGGGGATCTGCAGGTGGTCACGGTTGTGGTGAGGTGTGGTCACCCAGGGCTGCAAATGGCCAGACCTCAGCTCCTGCTCAGAGAGGCCACTCGCCAGCCCCTGAAATATTTGGAGCCCACGTGGACCCGCAACCATTTCACATTCCAGCACATTCCCACAAACCAGTGACTCAGGGCTTCCTCTCCTTTAGCTGGTTTGCTCGGGGCCTTTGGGATGACCCCGTGGGATATAGGAGACTGGAGTTCTTGTCTTGGCCCAGCTTCAGTGCCTGGTGGGACATTCACTTATCCATCACACGTTTGTTGAACACCAGGTTCTGTTCTAAGGAGTTTGGGATAAATCAATGGACAAAAGAGACCAGAAACCCCTCACCTCATGGAGAAGTAGAGAGAGGACAAGAAACCAATGTGATGGGCGCCTGGGTGGCTCAGTTGGTTAAGTGACTGCCTTTGGCTCGGGTCATGATCCTGGAGTCCCAGATCGAGTCCCGCATCGGGCTCCCTGCTCAGCGGGGAGCCTGCTTTTCCCTCTGACCCTCCCCCCTCTCATGCTCTCTCTCTCTCTCTCTCATTCTCTCTCTCAAATAAATAAAAATAAATAAAATCTTTAAAAAAATTATATATATAAAAAAAGAAAGAACCCAATGTGATAAATGAGTTAATTATGAAATCAGCTAAGTGCTAAGTGCCTGGCACCACAACACCGTTTCCCCCTCTGGGAAATGAGGGGATACAACCTCATGATTCTGGCGGTCCCTGTGGGCCTCGCTCTGAGGGCTCCCCTGGCTCCTGCTACCTCCAGTCTGGCCCCCTTTCTGGGGAGCAGCCTCCTGGTCTGTCCCGTGTCTGGAGATGGGAGTGTTTGGTTCAGGATGCTGGGCCCTGGGGAGATTGGGTACAAATTTATATGCCACCATTTACTGGCCCCGTGACTTGGCCACACTGTTTAACCTGTCTGAGCCTCAGTTCTCCCTTCTGTCAAAGCAGGAAAATGGGGCGTTTGTGGGGATTTGGTGAACTAAGACGCTGGGCAAACATCAACCTTTGTTAAAGTGTTATCTGTCACTTGAGGGCCTCAAGCTGATTTTCTGACGTCAAGCTGATTTCTCACCTACTTCCAGTTAAGTTAGACCTCGTTAGCCCTTCCAAATACCACCCTGGATGTGTGCATTTTCTCTCTCACCACCTCCTCCAGGAAGCCCCCCCGGATATGCATGTCCCATTCCCCTTTACTACTTTTTTTTTTAAGTTGTTATTTTAATCACCCGATGCTCATCACGACAAATGCACTTCTTAGTCCCCATCTCCTTTTTCACCGCCCGCCCCCCCCATAACCCTCAGTTTGTTCTCTAGAGTTAAGAGTCTGTTTCTTGGTTTCTCTCTCTGTCTCTTTTTTTTCCCTTTGCTCATCTGTTCTGTTTCCATTCCCCTTTACTTCTATCTCCACATCCCTCCCGCCCTTCCTCTGCTTGGTTGGTCTCTGCTTCTGCCTTTAGCTGAACGCTTTGTTCTGGCCCATGCTCCTTTTCTTTCCCCCAGTCCGGCAGGGCTATCCCGGGTGGCCCAGGCCTCTCCACCCCCCTGCACGCTAGATTCTAAGGCATGGATTATTTCCAAACAAGGGTCATCTGAAACCCTCAGACACTGTCCCCAGGGCCTCCCATTGGCTCAGGACAGTTCTCCATGGCAGGCCAGCCCCTCAGGCCTAATGCATCTTCCTAGCTCGGCCCTGGCCAAGTCTGAGACATGGTTGCCTCCTCGCAGCCAGGGCTGGTGCACATGTGCTCCTGCTGCTGGGCTGGGCAGGGGCTGCCCACGGGTAAGGGGAAGTTTCCAGGAGAGTCAGGCCTGTGAGAAGCCCAAAGATTCCCGCCCGTTCCCCAGAATGACCTCTGCCCTTTTTTCTGTCCTGCAGACACTACCCCAAGCAGTCCTTCACCATGGTGGCTGACACCCCGGAAAACCTCCGCCTCAAGCAACAGAGCGAGCTCCAGAGTCAGGTGAGGGGGCGGGGCGGGCCCTGTGGCCTGGCAGGGAGGGAGGGCTGTTGTAACCCCTGGGTTTGGCAAGGGCTCCTTCCCCCCTCCCCCTGTGGTTCCTCAGCGAGGCCAAGGTGCTGAAATCCTGGCACTTGCCCTGTCTCCCTGCCCCCACCCCTGCGCCTGGTTACTTCATATTTCCTGACTTTGTCAAAGGAGTGGAGGAAGTGGGTTCGAGAGGTATCTCTGCTCCAGGAATCTCTTGTGGGGCCTCTAAATCCCGCCTCCTCCAGGAAGCTGTTCATTTCTCCCTTCTCTCCACTCCCTCACCACCCTCAAAGGAGGGGACTCACCTCCCCAGGCTCAGGCCAGTCTGAGGTCAACCCACCCTTTATGGCCATGTCTCCGAAGCTCCTCCACTCTGCGGAGGGCAGGCTACGAAGGGGGCCTCGCCCTGGGGGCCTGTCCGAGTTGTCTCCTTGGGCCTGATTTTTCTGGAGCACTTGATTTGTGGGGAGTGGTGCATGCCGCTGTAGTGGGGAGGAAGTGGGTTCCTGCCCCAGGCATGACTCAGTCTTTAGGGGACAGTGAGGAATAAGCAAAGAATCCAGAACCCTGAGCCCCAAACAGGTCACTGTGGCTGGAGGTCTGGGAGGGCTTCTGGGACCAGCCTGGCCTAGACTGGGGGTGCTGGGGGAGGGTGGGGTGGGGTTTCTGCAAAGACCCCTTGAGGGACTTAGCCAAATGGGCAGGGTGCCCAGGGCTGGGGAAAATGTTGCAGAGGACCCCTCTCAGGCCACAGAGGGGTATCTCTCCTGATCCCTCTGGAGTGGGGTTCCTGCTGTCAGATGTTAACATGACCTCTCTGGGTCCCTGTCTCCTAGGAGGTCCCGTGAAGGAGAACCAGCCCTGTGCTCTTTAGAGTCCTCTCGTTGACTTCTGGCAGCCGTGAGGGTGCTGTTTCTCCCGGGGTACAGATGAGGAAACATGCCCAGAGACACGAGGGGACTTGCTAAGATCATATGGGGTAGTAGTAGGGCAGGAACACTATTAACTGCTCTCATCTTGAGTGCCTAATGCCCTGGGCATTTAAGTGCCCTCAGTTCACAAGCCTGTGCAGTTGGCAGGATCACCCCCACTCTAGGGAAGAGGGAAGGGAAGCCCCCGACTTGGAAGGCTGGTTTGTCTAATTCTGAGACTTGTGTTCTTTCCAGTTTTCCACCCAGCTCCCTCAGGAGAACTTATCTCTACCTTGATAATAAACACAGTAGTTCCTGGTGCCGGTGAGAACTGTTATAGCTTAGCAAGCGCTCTGAGTTACTTTGCCTCATTCATCCTTGACCCCGCTCTGGGGGCCATCAGATGAGGGAACTGAGGCTTTGCCTGTTGACACGCACAGTGAATGAAGTTTCAGGATCTGGACTCTGGTTTTTCCACTCCCAAGTACAGTGACCTTGACCATGTACAGTCCCAGTGAGGTGTGAGGTGCAGGCTTCCTGCGTGCCCCACAGCGGCAGGGAGCAAGTAGGGGAAGCTGGTTTTTCCCTCGGCGGCAGCTTAAAGCTGCTAGCCCGGATGCTGACCCTGGTGGGCGTGAAACCCGCAGTTCGGGGGAGCTGGTATGGATATCTGACCTCTGCCCCCTGAGGGAGGCAGCGTGGTCCAGCTGGCAGGGAGAGAGGGGCTGAGGCAGCCCTGGGGCCTGGGCCTGGTCTGCACGGGGAAGATATTAGCCAGACCCTTGCCAGCTGACGACTTTCCCGGGACCCCCCATCCTGGAGAGGGCCCCCTGGGGCCAGAGGTGGAGGGGGCTACGAGGGGCGTGCAGGCCACAGCATCCAGGGCAACCTGTACTCACCCCACAGCTTGAGAGGGGCAGTCAGAACCCCAAGTGGTGGGGGCCCCATCAGGAGGACCTGGAAGAAGAGGTGTAGGGAGGAGACGTCAGGTCTTTGGAAAGGTGCAGCTCCCCGAGATGCGAGAGTGTGTGCACACACTCAGGCAGAGGCAGGGGCAGACACACACATACACACACACACACACACAGAGCCCTACTCTCAGGAGGAGAAATTCAAACCCCGTTAATTCCCTTAGCTTTTGTCAGTCCCACAAAAGCAGGGTTGTAGCCCTTTTTGCCCCTGGAACCAGATCCCTGAGGGGCGGGGTCTGGAGGAGGAAGCAGCCCGGCTCAGGCTTCCAAGGTCCCTCTGCCCCACCTCGGCTTGGCTCGCTACTCCCCTCCCCGGGGCCTGGCCTGCTGCTCGCCTCCCAGGCCCCTGGGCCCCTGTCTCTCAGGCAGGCTGAGGAAATGATGAGGATGGCAGTCATCCTCCATGAGGTCCTCACCAAGGGCCAGGCCTTGACCTCACAGAATCCTTGCAACCGCCTGATGAAGGAGAGATTTTTTTAATCCCCATTCTACAGATGGGGACACAGCTTTAGAGAGGCCATGCCAGTTGCCCGGAGCCCAGTGACAGAGGCAGATTTCAAGCCCTTTGCTCTTGCCAGTTGCGTAGCCTGATGTGGCCGGCAGCCAGCCTTAAGCTCTCACCCACGGGATGCACAGTTACCACGGTGGGGGCGGGGGAGAGATGAGAGAGAGAGAGAGAGAGAGAGAGAGAGAGTGTGTGTGTGTGTGTGTGTGTGTGTGTGTGTGTGTTGGAATGCAGATTCCTAGGCTCCACCCGGGGGCTTCTGGTTGGCAATTCTGGGCAGTGCCCAGGAATCTGCATTTTGACTCCCCTGGTGATTCTCGTGAGCCTTTTGGACTTACTTTGTGAGACTTAGAGCCAGGCTTGGGGGGCAGGCAGGAAGCTGGGTGGAACTGACCTGAGCTCACCTTGCTCCTGCTCTGGGGGTGGGGGGGACGCGTCATGGAGTCAGGGCTCTGTTGCACTGAGGATACCGCTCTAACCTGAGTCTGGCTCCTGGGGCCTGGCAGCTGGGGTAGGCAGAGGGTGGAGGCCAGGGTCCTGCCTTCTTTGCCAGCCTGGGTCTGTCTTCCTTCTCCCTCGCCCCCGGCTCTGTGGTCTGAGCCTGGCTGCTTTCCTCTCATAGCTTTTTTTCCTCCCCGGTAAAATGGGGACAGCACAGCCCCGTTGCCTGGAGGTTGGGGGCTGGGCTGATGCACTGAGGTTTGGAAGGGCTGAGTGGGCCTGGCCGGGGGTGGTGACAGGTTCTGGTTCCTGTGGCTGCTGTGGGGGCAGGGCCGGCTAGAGCAGCCTGTGGCTGGCGGGAAGGGAAGTGGGAGCCCCTGTCTCCGGTGCCCCACCCCCCACCAGGGTGTCGCTTGGTCTCTTGCCAGGGCCCCTTCCTGGCCTGCATGCGTGTGTCTCAGCCCTCCTCAGTCTCTGGAAGCTGCCAGTGCTATTTCAACTTTGTTTTCCTGTGTCTAGATTGGTTCCCAAAGTGGTACTTTGGGTGTCTGGGACACCTGGAGCCTCCCCTGCAGGGGAGGTAACCACCGAACTGACCAGAAATGACCCTCTGGGTGGTCCTGCCCAGGCCTGGCTGAGGCAGGGAACCGGAGGCTGGGGCCCAGCTGCACCCCCTTCCCAAGGCAGCTCTCCCTTCCCCAGCCCCAGGCTGAGTAGAGGCAACATCTTTGGCGGGGGGGGCGCTGAGTGCTGGGGGGTGTCTGTGTGGCCCCCGGCACCGAGGCAGAAGTACAAGAAGAATGCCTCTCTCATTCTTTCCCCCATTGTCAGACCCCCGTGGCGCTGTACAGTCCCAGGCACAGGACAGTGTGGTCTGTCCCCAGCACTGCAGGCAGCATATGGTGTCACTCTGACCTAAGCTGGCTGAAGGTCAGATCCTGGGTCTGCCACACTAGCTGTGTGATCTGGGGTAAGATATTTCACCTTCCTGAGCCTCAGTGCCTTCATCTGTAAAATGGGGATTATCTTTCTCCAAAGGCAGTTGTAAGGATATAGCATATGTTATGTAGTATATATAACATCGTACATTACAGGGGATATAGAGGATATTAGTATCTATTAGGCATTTAGAACAGTTCCTGGCGTAGAGTCAGCACTCAGTAAATGTTCACTATTTTTTATTTTATTTTATTTATTTATTTGAGAGAGAGAGAGAATGAGAGATAGCATGAGAGGGGGGAGGATCAGAGGGAGAAGCAGACTTCCTGCCGAGCAGGGAGCCCGATGCGGGCCTCGATCCCGGGACTCCAGGATCATGACCTGAGCTGAAGGCGGTCGCTCAACCATCTGAGCCACCCAGGCGCCCAGTAAATCTTCACTATTAACTATTATCTTGGAAAGGAGGGAAATGGAGCTTGGGCACAATGAGGCTGGGGAAATGACACAGTGACCTTTTGCTGATTGCTTCCAGCGCTGACCGTTTTCATTCGCTCTCCTTCCCATCTGTGTCTGTCTGAATTTTCAAGCTGATTTCTTTTTTGTTAGAAGGGGGTAAGTTACATAGTATGTGGGCACAGCACATAGTAGGCACATGGTAAGTGGAAATGGTTGGCACTGCATTTTTTTCAAAAAACTGTTTTTGTTTTGTTTCATACTGGTTTATTTAGGAGAAAAAAATTTTTTTTGAAGTCATGATCTTTCCTCTTTATGTTAGGTCAGCAAAGCAGTGACTTTCTAAATTGTGCTGTCTGTTTGATATTTTGTGTCTATTCGGTTCATTCATCATTCATGCAACAAACACTTGTACCTACTTTGTTGCGATAAGTAATGAACAAGACAGACCCAGGGAGTTGGGTAGTTTGTTGGGTGGGAGGAGCCTCAGGCATCAGACCTGGCCCTGCCTCAGGAATTGTCAGGATGGGCAGCCCAAGCAGCTCCCAGGCATGGAGTCATCCGCCCCCAGTGCAGTTGCATCCTGCCCCTACCGACAACCTTGAATGACCTTGGGTGGGTCCCTTCCCTCAGAGACTCCCCCTACCACCACATCCTGCTGAGCCGTCCCAGGTGAGGGCAAACACTCCTGCTTGGGTGACCAGAGAACCCTGAGGGAGGGGCTCTAGGCAGGGCCCTACCCACCCTCCTGGCTCTCTACCTTTCACCTCTGCCACCCACTCCAGCACCAAAAGGTGCTGAGATTCTCTGAGAGCAGAGAATCTCCCTCACCTTGATTCTTCATAGTTAAGGCCTGCAGGTACTTAAAAGTGGTCACAAACTCCAGCGGGGTGGGTTTTTAGAGATCAGCTGGCCAGTCCCCCCCAAACCCCCTCCCCCCGCTCAGGGGATCCAGAGGGGGGTACTGACTTGCCTAGTGACATACAGCAGTGAGGTGCTGAGCCCAGACCTCCCTCCATCCCTTCTCAGTCCCCAGTCCACCCCAGCCCCGCCCTATCTGGCTGCCTATGCCAGGACTGAAATGCATTCTCCTTCCCCAGCAGGGAGAGGCAGTTCCTGAGCCTGGGAACTAGCTGACATCATTGTAGTGTCGCCTTGGCAATTACTCCCCTGGATTAGGGGCCTGACCCTAGCAAGGCCAGGAAGTGGAGGAAGGAGTGGGGGTCTGGCACTGGTTCAGCACTTTAATGTTGACAAAGCACTTCCACACTTGCCCTTAGCAGCAGGTGCGGAGCCCTGCCCTGCTTCAGAATGCTCGGGGATACATTTTGCTCTGTTAGAGCCACTGTCTGTAGTTTGCGCTGCTGACTGGAATGGGTGGTACTCTCCCCATTTTACAGATTGGAAATGGAGGCTTGAGAGGTGACGTCATTTGCCCAAGATCACTTGGCAAGTGGAAGACTGAGCACGTGTTAGGACTGGCTCCCTCGGGCTCTTTGCCCATGCTTGGCGATGGGAAGCCCCGTCCCCGTATTTTAACTGATTCCATGACAACCCTTTTACAGATGGGGAAATCGAGGCCAGAGGCCTTGGATTTGGGGCTTCTGCATCCTCTCCCTGATGCCCCTTTTCCCGAAGGGTCTCCCTGCCCCCGGCACTAAAGGTCACCACACTGTTCCAAGGCTTTCTGGAAGAGCTGATGCTGGGGGCAGTTCTGGGCCCTTGGGGTGGGTCAGTCCTTGTATTTACTTCATTAACTTCCAGTCTTTTGGGAAGTAGCACATCCAGGCCTTTGTTTTCAGTTTGGATCAGAACGAAGGAGGCTCTTTTAAAAAATAAATAAACAAAGGAGCTTCTGAAACCTTTTAGGATCTAGAACCCCATAGGTGGGTAAGCTGGGCTCCAGAGGGTGAACAAGGACCTCTGACCCCTGGGCAATGTGCAGAGGAACTGACAGGCCTGGCCACGGATGCATATGTGGGTGTTGTTGGTCAGGTCAGGGTGCCGCTCAGCCCCGGGGCCAGGTGACTCCTGACAGCTGCCTGGGCATCCCGTCCTGGAAACTCCCAAGGCCCAGGGCCTTGTGTCCTGGGCTGACCTGCTTCTCGGCGAGTGCAGCCCCCCTGGAGGAAATCCAGGCAGCTGGTGGGGCTGGAACAGCTGGCTGGCTGCTGAGGGGGGCGGGTGGGGGGGGGTGAAGTCTCTGGAAATAGGGAACAGTTCTCTGTCCCATGGGCATTTCTAGCCTCCATCCTGTTCTTTAAAACCCCCAGGGGATAATAAGATATTTTTCATATTTCAATTCCATTAGCGTTCGGGAAGTCCTTTCTTAGGTCTGACTTGAGTCCCTCTGGTTCTTGAGTGTCCGCGAATTTCTCAGGAGAGGAGGGCAGTGGTGGAGTGTAGGGTTCTTCCCTGGATCTTGGAGCCCTGTTCCTAAGTCCTGTCTGTGCCCCCACCGACATCATCCCCTCCCGAGGCATTGACCTTAGAAGCGGGCCTGGCAGGCTCCGGGAAGCCGCCGGGCCTGTCAAAGGCTCATTGATGGAGCCCTTCCGAGTAGCTGTCTCACCAGCGTCCTTTCTGGATGCCAGCTTTGTGCCTTGGCACAGCCTTCACTCAGCTGGGCGCTTAGAGACTCCTCCGGGTTCTCGGCGGGTCAGGCCACATCCTGGCGAGGGTGAGGGCTGGGGCAGCCTTTGGAGCTCTGGAAAGAACCTTCCTATAGCTTTCACGCAGGATAGGCCAGTGGTGAAGGGTCAGGAGTCAGGCAGACGAGAGTTTGCACCCTGGTGGCTCTGGACATTTATTGCCGAGCTGTGTGACCTTGGCAGGGGGCTCTGCCTCTCTCTGGCTCAGTTTCTTTATCTGCAGAATGGGGCTAATAATAGAATATAGTAAGACTTAAGTGAGGTAATTCATGTAAAGCACTTGGCATTCAGAATGCACTGAATACGTCTTCGTGGGTTATTGTTAGTAGTCAAACACTTTTTGGCTAAGGCTCCTGCTTTGAGTTCGGGGGTGGGCGGTGGATGTCACTGCAGGGCGATTTCTGGTCAGGGTCTCCCTCCCGGCTGGTGGTTGCATCAGAGGTGGCCACAGGCTGGGGCAACCTCTGCCGCCCCTGTGTTGACGCTACCCTCTCTTTCCCGCTTCATCCTCCAGGTGCGCTACAAGGAGGAGTTTGAGAAGAACAAGGGCAAGGGCTTCAGCGTGGTGGCAGACACACCCGAACTCCAGAGAATCAAGAAGACCCAGGACCAGATCAGTAACGTAAGCTCCCCTGCCCGCCGTGGGACCCACACTGCGCCCCCCCGCCCCCCCGCCCGCCCCCTCCCTGCCGGTCTGACAGGCACGAATGAGGCCAGCTCTCTGCTGCCCCAGCTCTTCTGGGCCTGCCTGGGTAGCAGCTGTTTGAGCAGAGGGAAGGAAGGGTCTGGGGTTCCCAGATGACTTTTTTCTGTGCACCCCCATATTCCCCTGTTCCACTCTGTGCCCACATGGCATTTCCACCATAAAAGCCCTCAACTTTTGTACAGGGAGGGCCTGTGTGCCAAACCACTCCCCACCCTCTCTAACGTGCCCGCCCCCCACCCCAGCTATGGTGGGTGTCAGGGTCCAGACGGACTGTTTTGTCTAAGCATAAAGGTCATAACTGGGTGGCAGGGGTGGGGAGGGGCCAGCCCCCCTCTTGTCGGTCTCTGGGTGCTGATATTGCAGTATTTCCGCCCTCCTTCGGCCTCCACCCCCACCTCGGCTTGCTCTTCCTTCCTGTGTAAAAACCCCGGCTGGCTTCGCTGGCCTGCCCCATACCGGCCGGCCCCGTACCCCCCGGCCTGGCTTTCCCAGGCTGGGGATGGTCGGCAGTGTGTGACTAGGCAGCACGGGGTATAGAGAGTAGGTGGTAGAGCGAGGGGCCCGGGGCACCTGTGGCCAGGGAATAGGCATTGGTTTCCTGCTTGGCAGAGCTGCAGAGCAGCAGCCTGTGTATCTGGGTTTGTGGGGAAGCTGCCTGGGGAGTTTGGGGCATGTGGTGGTTGGAATACTGCTGTGAGCCACAAGCACGGAACCTAGGCTGCGGGACCCCGTGGCACAGGGACCTGGGGCACAGAGTTGTGGTGTGTGCCCAGCCAGCCTCATCTGGCGGCGGGGGCGGGGGGGTGTCCTACAAATGGAGGCCTGGGCAAACAGTTGTCCGTATGTCTAGAACAGAAAGGAGTCGGCAGGTTGCCCGAGGTCACTCTGGGCGGAGGGTCTGGGATTCTGGTGGGCCACCTGTCACCTGTCCCCGGCCTCCACAGCCCTCCACATGCCTCCCCCACCCAGCCTCCTTGGTGGCGCTGTGCTTAGAGTGGGCTCCACAGTGGCTCAGGTGGATTTCAGAGCCAGGGCCTAGGCCAGGAAAACCAGTCAGGCCCAAGACTGTGGCTTTTAGACTTTGTAACTTACGATACGACGTACGTTTCACATAGTGACCCACCAAACAGGCCTGCTTATTTATTTAGAGAGAAAACCAAATCAAAACTTTCATCAAAGAGTCCTTACTACTTGGAGAGCATTCAGGTATTTCTGTTCTAATTATTTTGTGAAGACGCTTGCTGTAGACTTAACTAAATGGGTAACTAAGTGGGGTTTTGTTTTTTTTTTTGAAGATTTTTTTAATTTATTCTTTTGACAGAGACAGCGAGAGAGGGAACACAAGCAGAGGGAGGGGGAGAGGGAGAAGCAGGCTTCCTGCCGAGTAGGGAGCCCGATGCGGGGCTCGATCCCAGGACCCTGGGATCATGACCTGAGCTGAAGGCAGATGCTTAACAACTGAGCCACCCAGGCGCCCAACTAAGTGGGTTTTGCAACAAGGTCGTTGACCTACAGTTTGAAATCTGTGGCAGGAGGAAATGGAGAGCTTCCTTTGGGCTAGGAGGGCTCTAATCCACCCCCTCACACACACACACACACACACACACACACAAATACACACACAAATAAAGCCTGTTTCAGTTGCTTTATAAGCCAGGGCCTGGCCTCACACCCTAGAGCTTCCCCACCCGTGCTGCCCAGACCCTCTGAAGGGTAAAGAGGATTAAAGAAGGCCTGTGTCTTCCAGCTCTCCACATGGTAAGTGGGAGGGAGGGGAAGCCTTGGGCAATGGGGAAAACCTGGAATGGCTCACAAAGCTGGAGTCTTGATTCTCCAGGCCCTCTGTGGCCTTTCCATTGTGAGGACACGTGCTCTCATCTACAACCCCATCTCCCCAAAACATTCACTCATTGCTTCCAGCCTGTGGGTTTTAGAGGCAGAAGACAAGTAAGCGCAGTCATTCCCTGCCTCCCTTTCTGGAAGGCTTCCAGAACATTCCATACCCAGTTATCGGAGGTGCTAATATCTGAGGAGCTCTGGTAACAGAACTCACTGTGGCCAAGACATCTACACCTAAGGAGATAACCATCTTATCATTAACCACAGGGCTGCAATTAGCTGATTGTCCTCTGCTCCGAGGTGGGGGAGGTGGCTTGAACCTGACCGGGTTCTGCTTTTGCAGGTTTAGCTAGGACATCTGAGGTGTGACTGACCACAAAGCTGGAAGACTCTTGGCTTTAGTGAACACAATTAGAGTCTGTCAAATGTGAGCCTCTATAAACAGCTGTACTAGAATCACATGGGAAAGGGTTTTTTTTGGTCTTGTTTAATTTTAAAGATTTTATTTATTTATTTGAGAGAGCGTGTGTGTAAACGAGGAGGGGCAGAGAGAAAATCTGAAGCAGAGTCCGCAGTTAGCGCAGAGCCGGATACGGGGCTCGATCTCACAACCTTAAGATCATGCCCTGAGCCAAAACCAAGAGTCGGATGCTTCACCGACTAAGCCACCCAGATGCCCCGATGTCGGAAGGTTTATTGAAAAGGCAGGCTTCATAGGCTGCCTGACTCAGCATCTCTGGGATTAAGGCCCAGGAACCGGCATTTTATTTTGTTTTGTTTATTTATTTTTTTTAAGATTTATTTATTTGAGAAAGAGAGAGAGCAGGGAGAGGGACAGAGGGAGAAGGAGAGAATCCCAAGCAGACTCCTTGCTGAGTGGGGAGCCTGACACGGGGCTCCATCCCATGACTCTGAGATCATGACCTGAGCCGAAATCAAGGAACCAGCATTTTAAACACATTCACTGGGTTCCGGTGGTGCTCAGTGAAGTTTGAGAACCATTACTTAAAAGCCTGGAAAAGCTGCACCAAGCCCTAAGTCAGAGAGTGCCAGGCCCGGCCACATCCCCAAACTCTCAGGGAGCTTGATACCACCCTTAGAGCCGTCGTGAAGTAGTCCCAACCTCCAGAAGAGTTTTGGCAAAGATAAGTGTTTAGAGAGAGCCACCCCTTTGTTTAGTATCCAGTCTGTGTAGTTTGTCACTCACTTCCCAGGTTAGCACCCAACAACCCCTAGCTGTTTCCAGAGAGGTCAGACCATCTTGGGAAGAGATGGCTTTTACCTCCCCGGAGGAATATGCTCCAGATTAGAGGATTTACAAGCGAGACTATTTTGAAAAAGTGTCTGGTCTCCCCCAGGTGGTGTTTAAAGGCTTTGGATGTGTGCAGTCTGTCATCCATCAGATCAGTGTGGTCAGTATAATTACCATTTCTGTAAAGGCAGAACTGTCTGCTTTCTGCACTGTGACTAAAGGAGAGGCAGGGAGTAAAGCTTGGTTGAGAAGTTGGGCCATTGTCTGGTACTGAGAATGTGTGAAACTTTCTGGCGGAACTGTGTCTTCGTTAGGGGCATGGAAAGGGTTGAGAGGCTAGGGCCGCGTGCTCTGGAATGCAGTGTATCCTTCTGGAATGGCCTTTGGTCCTGAGTTCCAATGGCTGTAATGCACTGGGAAATTTTCACGGCTGAGGCCCTTTTATGGGAGCCCCTGCCTCCCGGTAGAGTAGTTCTGCTTTTGTTTACCTTATGTACCTACTTATATATTGATTTTCTGTATGCAGTCCTGTGTCTTTTTCTGTGAAATGTAACACCCAGTAACAACCCATACAGTAAACACCTGTGTTCACTGTGCAAGTCAAGAAACATTCCTGGAACTCCCCTCCCCCCCATCCCGAACTCCTCTGCTTTTAGGGCAGGCACCTGGGGGTGCTCAGTTGGTTAAGCGACTGCCTTCGGCTCGGGTCATGATCCTGGAGTCCCGGGATCGAGTCCCTCCTGGGGCTCCCTGCTCAGCGGGAGTCTGCTTCTCCCTCTGACCCTACCCCCTCTCATGTGCTCGCTCGCTCTCTCTCAAATAAATAAGTCAATCTTAAAAAAAAATAGAGCTTTTAAAGTGCTAAAAACCTAACTCTTCTACAGTGAGCGCCAATCATATATTTCACTTAATTATGCTGGAGGTTAGGACAGGCAGACCTGCGGCCTAGTCAGTCAAAGAGCTGCATACAAAGAGACCCAGAACTGGTTACTGCCCTGCCATTACTGCAGAACTGGGTAATGTTCTACAGGACCATAAAACCATAAACTTTGGGAATATCTTCGCCACAGGCGGAAATGCTTTGCATTTCTATCAGTGAAAAGTAATTAGCAACATGTATTCTGTAAGTTAGCTTCAGTCTTTAGAGGCTGGGCCTAATCAGTAGTAAATAGTAACGTCAAACAAAAATTCCATGCCCAGGGTCAAATGACCGGGAGGCAGGCTCGTGGAATAACCTGAGTGTAATTTTTGAGAGCATGTGCTGTGCTTTCTTTTTTCTAATTTTATTTCATTTTTTAAAGATTTTAGTTATTTATTTGGGAGAGGGCACAGGAGGGGTGAGGGGCAAAAAGAGAAGCAGACTCCCCACAGAGCAGGGAGCCCGATGCGGGGCTCGCTCCCCGGACCCTGGGATCATGACCTGAGCGGAAGGCAGACGCTTAACCAATGGAGCCTGGGGCGCCCCTCTTTTTTCTAATTTTAATATGTAACTATGTATTACTAAATGCCATAGTTTTGTTTTTCCTGACTTTGAACATATACTAGGTATTCTTTTTGTGTCTTTTTTTTTTTTTAAGCTTTTATTTATTTTTTTGACAGAGAGACAGCGAGAGAGGGAACACAAGGAGGGGGAGTGGGAGAGGGAGAAGGAAGCTCCCTGCTGAGCAGGGAGCCCGATGCGGGGCTCGATCCCAGGACCCTGGGACTATGACCTGAGCCGAAGGCAGACGCTTAACGACTGAGCCACCCAGGCGCCCTTTTTGTGTCTTCCTTTGGCCAACACTGGGTTTAAAGATTCATCTACGTATTTGCACAGAGCTATAGGTCATTCTTTTTCATTGCCAAATAGTGTTCCATTTAATGCTTATACCACTGTTTATCAACTCTGGTGTTGGACTTGTGATTACTTCCACACGCTCTGGATGTCCCCATATTTCCTGGTGTTCACGTGGAGTGGAATTGCCGGGTCTTAGAGTTTACGATCCTTCTATCTTACCAGATAATGCTGATCTATTTTTCAAGTGGCTGTACTGATTTATTCTGTCAGCAGTGATGAGTTTCCATTGCTCAGCATCCTTAGACTTATTCACTTTAGCCATTTTGATTGTGTGTAATGGTATCTTCTTGTGGTTTTAACTTGCATTTCTCTGATGACTAATGAAGGTGAACACAGATTCACATTTGTTTAAAAATATATATATTGTTAGTCTGTAATAGGGAGCAGTATTACATGGTAGCTGAGATGTAAGGATGCAATGTGAGAACTGGATTCTATAACCCACCAGTTACCCTCCTCTGAGTGTCGGTTTCCCCATAAAACGGGGGGTGATAGTGATACATAGTCGTAGGGCTGGCTGAGAAAAGGAAATGAATAATCCATGTAAGGGAGAAAATCAGCCCTCAGAAAGTGGGAGACATTGTTATAAAAAAAATAGACTCTGGCTGGTGAGTTGATGATTCCATTCAGAGCCTATGTTCCCTTTTGGACCATGATGTAGAATCATGTGGGAACGTTGTGCAGCGTCAGACCTTTGTTTTCCATCACAGTCAGAAGAGCAGGGGTTCAGAAAACGGAACGTTGGCCAGCAGAGAAAATGGGTTTCTCTATTTAGCTGTGGAGTAGACCTTCCACTAGTCATTCCAGAGTCCTGGCTAGCAGGGGCCTGGGCCTCTCAACCCATGTGCACTTGGACCTTCTGGGCATAGAACAGGGTGCTCGGGGGCCCACGACAGTTCTTTATTTTTTTTTTTAAGATTATTTATTTGAGAGAGACGGAGAGAGAGGAAGAGAGAGAGAGGGAGGAAGGGCAGAGGGAGAGAAGCTTTCAAGCAGACTCCACGCTGAGTGCAGAGCTGACACAGGGGCTCAATCCCATGACCCATGAGATCATGACCTGAGCTGAAACCAAGAGTCAGACGCTAAACCGACTGAGCCACCCAGGTGCCCTTGACCGTTCTTAAGCTGAGGCCCTGGTGACACCTCTGGGCTTATGGTGACCCCCATTCAGGGCTCTTGGAAGATCAAACTCTGCCGACTATGGAGCAGGGACCAGCCAGACCCCTGGAGTCTGGAAAATGTTTCTTTCCCTTTCAGATATGCAGACTCCTTTGAGCGTGCCTATTTGCTTCTCACACCATTTGGCGGGTCGGCAAAGAAATAACACAATTTTCTCATTTGCTGGGAAGGGAGGGAGAGGAAGTGGGGAGTGGTGGGGCCTATCCCAGTTGGCCCAGGCGGAGGGGCTGTGCCCTGCTTGTCCCTGCTGCACTGGCTCCCTCAACGTTAGGGTGACCTCCCGGACATCGTCCCTGTTTGAGTGAGAGACGTGCTACTCAAGTTTATTCCAGAACAATAGACATGAAGTAGGACGAGGGGGGGGCTTGGGCCTGTGGTCACCCTGCTCCGTGCCTGTCCCCAGGAGAGGGCCTATCTAGCGGTGACTGTGTCCCTATGTCACCAGCCTCAGCCCTTCCTGAGCAATGAAAGCTCTGTCTTGGGAAGTCATTGAACTTCTGAGCACGTTTTCCTCTTCTGTAAAATGGGAATTAAAGTGTACCTGTCCAGCTTCTTTTTCTAGGGTGATTATCACCGGGGCCAGAGGAGATAATGCTCAAAGAGCCTTCTTGCACTCGGTGTGAGTCACTGAGCAAATGGGAAGGTTATTAATATTAACAGTAACAGGTGGTATGTACGTCGGTGGCAGTGGGGAGGGTTCTTCTGTGTTCTGGCCACCACAACTGCATCCACCTGGGGCAGCTGGCCCTAATTTTATAAATATCTACTCCTGTGTAGTGGCTTTGTAAGGACCAAGAGCAATTCTACCAGCCACGTGTGGAAACGCACGCATGTCCATTCTTGCTTTCAGCTCTCGAGTCTGGTTCGGTTGCTAGACCTGGTCCGGAGCCTCAGGACCTCCTGGGAACAGATGGTACCAGGGCCTTGTTTACAGATCAGGAAACTGAGGCCCAGAGGGGTAGGGACTCTCGCAGGGTCACACTGATGACCTTCCAGGGGTGAGGCATGGGAGGGCCACTGCGCCTGTGCTGAGGGACTGAGTCTGTAGGACACTTGAGTGGGGATAGCTCTAGGCATTGGCTCCTTGGTACAGAAAAGGAGCTGGGGGGTGCCTGGGTGGCTCAGATGGTTAAGCGTCTGCCCTCGGCTCAGGTCATGATCCCAGGGTCCTGGGATCGAGTCCCGCATCAGGCTCCCTGCTCCTTGGGAGCCTGCTTCTCCCTCTGCCTCTCTCTCTCTCCCTGTCTCTCATGAATAAATAAATAAAATCTTTAAAAAAAAAAAAAAGAAAGAAAAGGAGCTGGGACCGATGTACCCTCTTCCCCAGGGCTTCCTGTCACTCCTTCATATCCAGAGAAGCTGGGCCCCCAGCATTAGGGACACCTGTCCCCCCAGTGCAGGCCTCTGTCCGCTTCTACACGTGCACTCCCCTTCCCCTGGTCACTAGCTCCTGGGGTTAGGTCTCTTTTTTTTCCACAGAAAGTAAACACAGGAAGCTGACCCTTCTAACCCCTAGGACAAAAGTCGGAAGGGCAGTTGCCTTGTGAGCCTCAAGACCTCAGGAGGGGTGGCCCCTCTCCTTGTCACGCCCCCCCCCCAGTGGACAGGGGTCACTGAGGGAGTGGGGCTCAGGGACACTCGCCTTTTGCTCTTGTCTTCGGAATCTCAGAGCAGGACACTGGCCCTGTGTCTGAAAACTTCACTCCTGGGTGCCCTTCCGAGTAGGAGTTGAGGGATCCCATAGGTTTTCAGTCTGGCCAAGGCTGGCTGCCTCCCCCTGAGGAATGGCACTCAGCCCATCTCGCCATTTGGGGGTGGGTCCCTACTCGGGCCCAGATGGAAGGGGCAGGGAAAGGAGGGGCTGGTGGTGACCCAGGCCACGCCCGCAGACCTTTAGCCCAGCTACTAAGTGTTAGCCGTGCCTGGCCGAGTGTTAACTCTTGCCCTCCTTGCAAAGCGAATGCCAACGAGTGGGAGAGAAGGCAGCAGAGAAAGTGGGAGCGGATGCCAAAAGGGACCGCCCTGGTTTGGGACAGCTCCCATCAGGCCTCGGGGCACAGAATCACTGGTTCCTTCTGCTCCAGAGAACAGGGCGGGCTTTGCTCTCCTCCCTTCCTTGATGAGGAGGGAGGACCCCCCACGTTGCTTGTCCTCCAGCCTGGGGTCCTCAGCAGAGCTCTGTGAGGTCACGCCCACAGAGGCCGAATTGCCTCATGATTAAGCGCATGGGCCTCGGAATCTGCATGATCTGGGGCGACTCACTCAGCTTGTCAGTGCCTTCGTTTCCTTCTTGTTAGACGGGGACTGTCATATACCTTCTCCTGGGTGCCGACAGGCTAAAATGAGCCTGTGAGGTAGAACGCCTAGCGCAGTGCCTGGCGCCCAGCAGGTACTCAGCGGGCGTCCCTGTCATTCTCCCGCAATGCCTGAGGTAGACACTGATGTCCCATATTACAGAGGTGGAGACTGAGGCCCAGCAAGGTTAAGTAGCTTGTCCAAGGGCACACAGGAATCTGGTCCCCTATGCCTGTAGCCCTCGGGGAGTCTCTCCTCTCCTGGGAGATCTTAAGTGGCCACAGGAAGGGAGCTTTGCTTGGTTTGCTGAGTCCTTCACCCAGCACTTTCTGCCGCCACAGATAAAATACCACGAGGAGTTTGAGAAGAGCCGCATGGGCCCCAGCGGGGGCGAGGGCCTGGAGCCTGAGCGCCGAGACGCCCAGGAACGGCAGCAGCTGCCCCACCACATCCCAGCCAGCGCCCCGGGTGAGCGTGAGGCCTGTGGAGGGGATGGGCCTGAGAGCAGGCCCACTGTGGGATGGGGAGGAGGTTGCAGAGAATACTTGTGCACAGGCACACCCGTGTGTGTGCTTGCACAAGCCCTCGGGCCCCATACCAGTGGGGGTGGGGGGTGGGGTGTGGGGGTACCATGAGCACCGGGGTCAGGGTCCGTGGCAGGTCCCAGCGTGTTGGCGGAGATACAGCCCCAGTTGCAGAGTATGCAGCACCAGCAGATGTGCACACCCAGGCAGATGAGCCTTTGAGAAGTGAGGGCTGAGCAAGGTTGCAGGGGGTGGAAGCGCGTGATAGGGGCCTCGTGGGGGAAGGACGGAGGTTCCGGGAGGGATTGGGTTTGGCGTGACAGTTTCTGAGTCCTGTCCCCCCCTCTTGCAGTTTACCAGCAGCCCCAGCCGCAGCAGGTGGCTCAGTCCTATGGTGGTTACAAGGAGCCTGCGGCCCCGGTCTCCATACCACGCAGTGCCCCAGGCGGGGGCGGGGTGAGTAGCTCCGGCTGGAGGGAGAGATCCTGGAGCTGGGAGGTGGGACGGGGGTCGGAAGCCTGAGGAGGCCAGAGGTGGATGGGTTCAGGGAAGGCCTCGTGGTCACAGCTCCTAGATTCTCCTTAGAAACCCGACCAGGAGGCTTGGCTTCCCTTGACCTTTGAGCCCAGCTCCTATTGTCCTCTGCAGGTGATAGGGACCTTAGCCTCTGAGCAGACGCATTGTGGTCAGTACACCGAGCCCTGGGCTGGGGTTGGGGCCCAGCGTTCCAGCTCCGGGTGTAGCTTGCACAAGTCACCCCCCCCACCCCCCCCGCTTAGTTTCCTGCCTCTAGCTTCCCAGGAGCACATGAGGCACCTTTCTGTGTGGGGCCTTCCAGACCTTGGTCCTGCTCCCCACTCTTCATGAGGATGACCCCCCAACATCCTTCAGATCTCGGCTTGCCCCTGCCTCCGAGGGGTCCTCCCAAACACCCCGATGTCAAATGGGTCTCCCCTGACCTCTCTATCACTGCCCCCTCCCCCGCCCACTGGTTCCCTTCAGAGCACTTTTCCCAACTCAGAACTGTTCTGTTTAACTTCTGTGTACATCCCCTGCTGGATTTGCAGCTCTGTGCGGGCACGGCCATGTCCTCTTGGTTCATCGGCTCTGAGCCAGGCACAGAGCGGGCACTCAGCGACATTGCCAAGTCAGTGATGAGTAAAGTAGGATGTGGGGCAGGATCAGGCTTACCATCCTTAGACTTGAAGTCCCCGGGCTGTAAACCCTGCTGCCTATCCCATGGAGGGGGCTGCTGAGCCACCCAGCCTGAGCTCCTGGCTGCGCTCAGCTCCTCTGTGCTCCGTTCCTGGGAATTGGAAGTAGCTCATGGAGGAGCAGGAGAGACAATACTTAGAGAAGTAAAATAGCCTGAGATAGGTGTCCTCCTGGAGCCTCATGCCCTGGGCACAAGGGAGTAAACAAGGGATTGTCCATGCCCTGTGGGGTGCTGGGCAGGACCTGAGAAGTCATCTGTAGGATAAGATTCCAGATAGACTAGCCAGTCCTTCACATACTCGCTAAACCTGTTTTGGACACTAGGGGTTTGGCTCTGAATAAAAGACCACCTTCCTGCCATCTTGGAGCTTATATTTCAGTCAGGGAGACAAATAAGAAGGCAATGAATAAGTAGGTGTATAATATTTAAGGTCCGATAGAGGCACATGCTGGGAAGAAAAAGACAGAGTGATGGGAGGGAGAGCAGCAGAGTCCTCAATAAGATGAAAGAGTGAGTGGTTCAGGGAGAAAGCAACTGCAAAGGCCCTGGGGCCAGCGGGAAGGCCAAGGCGATTAGAGGAGGAAGAGGGGAGGAGATAAGGTCAGATCCTGCAGGGGCTCGTAGGCCACAGGAAGGCCTTTGTGATTGGTGAGCTATGCGGCGTGACAGGTTTTGATTTATGTTTTTAAAGGATCACTGGTGGCTCAGTGAGCAGAGGCCGCAGAAGGTTGAGGGCAGAAGCAGGGAGCCGAGGGAGGAGGCTGTTGCAGGATGCAGGCGTAGCTGGCGGCTGTTCAGCCCAAGAGATAGAGGCAGAGTTGGTGATAAGAGACCAAGGTCACTTTGTGTGGCGGGGTTGTCCTACATATCCTACACATAGTCTTTGGGGCTGATGGAGCTGGTTTCTGCTGCTCGAAAGAAAGTTTGCAATTTGGTGCTGGCTGGCTCGGTCGATAGAGCATGTGACTCCTGATCTCGGGGTCTACGTTAGGTGTAGAGATTACTTAAAAATAAAATCTTAAAAAAAAAAAGAAATTTGGTGCTCAAGAAGGTGGGACACCACTGAAGGATTTTAAAGCCAGGGAGTAACCCGACCAGGTTTGCAGTTTGGAAAGCTCCCCCTGAGATCACCCTGGATGAACAGATTGGAGGCCAGAAACAGAAGGGCTGAGCAGGGGTCCCAGTGGAGTGGAGCCATGGGGGCAGATCTGGGAGGTCCCTGAGGGGCCCCTCCAGTCCTAGACCCATGGGCACACAGATCCCAGGGCCCAAGCTGGGGGACCATGAAGGCTGAGCTGACCCCCGGAGTCAAGTCCATGTAAAGGGCAGCGAGGACGTTAGAATCTTGCCTACCTCGAAGACCGCAGGTGGACGGCAGGTGCTTTCCCTGGGCGTTTCCCAGGCCAGGGGCTTAACCTTAGGATTTTGGCTGAGGTTGGAGAGTGGAACCTCTTGTGGCCCCTGGAGATTTTTCTCCCCAGACGAAGTCTTTAAAACACGATCAAGCCTTGTATTCACTGGACCTGCTGCATTCCTGTTGCAAGAGGTGGGGCAGAGCTGTGGCAAATCTCAGTCCCTGTCCCAGAGCCTGGCTCTTCAGAGATGCCAGATAGGGCTGGAGAGGGTGATGGGTTTCAGACAGTGAGACCCGGAGGTGAGAAAATTCATGGCAGAGCCTTCCCGGCCCGCCAGCCCCGGGTTCTCTGCTCGGCCGGGCCCCGGACTGACCGCGCCCCCACCCTTGCAGAAGCGGTACCGCGCTGTATATGACTACAGCGCCGCCGATGAGGACGAAGTCTCCTTCCAAGATGGGGACACCATCGTCAACGTGCAGCAGATCGACGACGGCTGGATGTATGGGACCGTGGAGCGCACCGGCGACACAGGCATGCTGCCGGCCAACTACGTCGAGGCCATCTGAGCCCCCGGCCCTGCCCCGCCCCCGGCCGTCTTCAGTGCATTCCACGCCATTGCATCTGTCCTGGGCGGACCTGTCCACCCTTCAGTGTCTCTGTTTTTTTAAATCTGCGACAGCTTGTTTATTCCCACCCTCCTCCAGCTTCTCTTGCCAACTGAAGCCTTGTTCTGTCACTTTTGCGGGCTCTTCCTCTGGCACGTTTTCCCCTTGACCAACTTCTCGGTTTTCTCTCTGGACGGAACAGGTGTGGAGCTCTGGGGGGGAAGCGGGGGCTGAGGCCCAGGGAGCTGGTCCGGGATTGGAGACCCATTGGCTCCCAGGCCTCTGCCTTCTCTCTTTCCTGCCCCCTCAGACCTTCCTGCCCCTCCTCACACACCCCAACTTTCCAGGACTCCCAGGGGAGGGGCTCTGTGCATTCCCAGATGGGACCCTACCACCCTCGCCCCTGGGAGGGGCTTTGCCTCTGCTTCTCAAAGACAGGGCTGCCGGCCCTCCGAGGGGGCCCCTCACCACCCTCTCCCACTGTCAAGGACCACAGAGGAGGGTAGAGTTCCCGCGTTGGGATTCATTCGTCCCTCCCCACATGTGTTCCTTCTCACACTGTGATTTCGCTCTCCTGCCCACACAGAGCGGTGTGGGCGAGGAGCTCCCCAGGAAGCACGGCTTGGGTCAAGTGCTCTCGCCTTTCTTACTTTTAGGGACGGCTGCAGGAGGGAGGGGAACGGGGTGTCATCTCCCACAGCCCCTTTCCTTCCTCCTCTCCCCAGTCCCCAGGCGCCCTGGCTGTCTCCTGGACCACGAGCCAGCCGCCCTGAGCTCTGGGTTAGGTTGCCCCCCCCCCATGGGAAGATGTCTCAGGCCTCCCACAGCCGCCCCTCCTCGGCCCAAAGCCAAGTGGACTGGAACTGTGCAAAGCCACAGGACCTCTCTGTCTCCAGGACTCCGCACATGGGGAAGGAGCTCGTCTGTATCTGTGACAGGCTAGCGGCAACGAAGCAGTCAGGGTCCAGGCCCGTGGGAGTCTCTGGGAGGGCCCCAGGGGAGAGACGTCCCTCGTGGTTTCTTTGGTGAAAATTCCTCCTTTCCTTCGATTGCCAAACGGCGGAAGCCCACCCACCCCCCTTCCAGTGTGCCGGGCAGAGGTAAAGGGGGGTGGTTGTAGAGTTGGTGGGGCTGATGTTGGGGCCCACAGCTTGCTGGGGTGAGGGTGGGGGCAGGCTTCGTGGCTCTAGGCCTATTCTTTCCCTCCCAAATATGTGCCCCGGGCTTCAGAGGAGGGCATCAGACCACCCTGTGTCACCCACACTGGGGGTGCCTCACCGCTCCCCGGCCTCCCCCTCGCTAACCTCAGGCCCCTTGAAGCAGAAGGAGAAGGTCCCAGGGCTTCAAAACTGGAAGCACAGATCCCGGGATGAGGAAGGGAAAGATGGTGCTATCTCCAAGTCCCTTCTCGCTCGTTGGCAGCTGTGACGACCCTTGCTTGGCTTTATTCATCTCTGGGCTCTCTCAACACCCCTCTGGGCCTCCCCCTCCTGTCTTCACCTCAGGCTCCCCAGTTGCCATGTTTGCCTCCTTGTCCCTTTGGGCGGGGGACCCTGCAGGCAGATCTCAGCAATCAGGTCCTCACTGCTTGGGGGTTGATGGAATATTTTCCCCAAATCAGAAGGATGGAGAAATGACTGTTGGCAGGGGGGAAGCCCCCTGCCTGACCCATCTCTCTCCTCTGGCCCCAGCCGAGGTGAAGGCAGGTGGAGGGTCTTTATTGTTGGATGATTTGGGGGATGAGGGAGGCAGAAAGGAAACAGTTTGGGGAGCTTTGGGGGAGGCAGCAGTCCACTACCTTTCCTCTTGATCTCAAAGCACAACTTGGATTTGGGGACCAAAGGTCAGAGACGGCTCTTGTGGGAGGATCTGCTGGGAGTGCGGAGAGAGGTGGGAGGAAAGCCCAGAGGAGCAAGAAGCGGCCTGTTTTCCCTTCGCTTTGTTTTCCTTCGAAAACAAGGCAGGCCAGCCACTGGAATCTTGCTGCCGGCCCCTCTGCTCCTCCCATCCTAAAAATAGGGGACTTTTTCTTATACACCCCCAGAGAGAAGGACTGTCACACTGGTGCTGAGGGACCCAGGGGCTGCTAGGCATCCTTGCTTCTTTCCAGAACCATCCAACCCTACAAGAGCACAGAACCAAGGGTTGGGCTGAGTCCCTGGCCTTTTCATACAGTTCACAAAGGTCTTTGGCCAATCTAATCCCAGGAAAGATGATGCATCAAAGCTAGAATGTGAATATAACTTTAGTGGACCAATAAGAAAATACAAGAAGCCCAGTGGTGAGAAAAGTGAATTCTGTCACACTGCTTCCTATTTTCTTCCTCATGTCCCTCCAGGGAAAATGACCTTACTGCTTCATTTCTGCCTTTTTCCTCTCACATACGCACTTTTGGGCCTTTTTTTTTTTTTTAATAGCTGGAAGAAAAAAAAATACCACCCCACAAACCTGTATTTAAAAAGAAACAAATGACCATGTGAAATTTGTCTCTGTCCAAACATTTCATCCGTGTGTGTGTGTGTGTGTGTGTGTATGTGTGTGTGAAGCCGTCCGTTCTTTTTATATGGGGTGGTTGTCTTTTCTTGGTCTGTTCTGGTCCCCTCCCTCGTGGGCTTGTGCTTGGGATCAACTCTTTCTGGCCTGTTATGATTCTCAACATTTGACTTGGACCACAAGTGAATCTTTCTCCTGGTGACTCAATAAAAGTATAATTTTTACCTGTGGACTTGGTTTTGTCTCTGGCTCTGAAGTGCTGTGTGTGCGTGCACCAAGTGTTCGGGGCAATAGCTGGGCACCCTCCCGAACCCGAGAGCCCTGCTGCCCTTCAGGGAGAGAATGACCAGGTTGAAAGCTGTCAGCCTGGGGCAGAAGTTGGCTCTGCGATGGGGACTCGGCACCTCCTTCTCATGGAGAATTCTTACTGCCACTTTGCACCTGCCCAGCTTGGTGGCACTCCCGGACACGTACCCGAGCTCCTGGATTTCCCTCTTCCTGACTTCCCTGGTTAACAGCTGCCTCCCCGCTAGCCAGGGCCGTCACAGGGCAGGTAATGGGTCGAAGTCCTCGAAATCCCAGTGCGTGCCCTGGGCCAGGCCCATCGCTGCTCAGCAAGGATGTGTTGCACTGATGCAGGAGACCGGCCCAGGGGCACTTTTAGCCCCCCCTGCTGCTGCCTGGCGCCCAGGAAGAGCTTGGCACAGTATGAGGAATGAAATGACGGGGTCAGTCTGGGTGGGCTAAGACGGGAGGAAGCCATCCTACCAGCCCAAAGCAGTATGCGTCAGCCGAGGACCTACAGCCATGTCTGTCTCATGGATGGGGTTCTGAAACCCGGGGAGGCCGTGATTTGGTGGAAGTTGCACAGCCGGTGTGGCAGGGCCTGAGGTCTTAGGACCCGCAGTGCGACGCTCACAACCTCACGCCACGCTGCCTGGCCACGGTGGGCCCTGCGCCCCTGCCCTTTGCACCTCACGTCTTTGTATCTCCCCCTACCGGCCTTTTGCTCCAGCTGCCCTGGGTCCGACTTCCCACCAGAAGGCCAGGTGGCCTCCCCTCTTCTGCAGGGTTGGGAAGGGGACAGTGGTAGAGAAGGAGTCTGGAGCCTCCCCTCCCAGGCCCATGTCTCCTGTCCAGCTGCTTTGTGCAGAGGGGCACTTCCCACTGGGGGCTCAGCAGGAAGGCCGCGGCGGAGTTGAAAGGGGCCCTCCCTGAGCCTTGGTCGTGGAGAGAAGGAAAGAGGTGGGTCTGCGGGGCTGGAGCGGTGTAAGGAGGTGTCAGAGGCTCGGGGGGATCGCTGAAGGCAGTACCAACACCCGCTCCCTCTCCGAAGGAACAGGCCGCCTGGTATTTTCCCAGCAGAAGGGAATGAGTTGGTAAATCTTGCCTCCTGTTGGCCTGCCCCCTTTTGTCGGCTGAGGGGCAGCCCTCCCTCCCAGGAGGCTTCATTCACCGGAGCGACTGGAGGGGGGACAGTCGGCTCGGGAGGGAAGCCGCTCACAGAAAGCTCTGGGTTCTAACGTCCTGGGCATGGGCCAATGGGAGCAGTTTCTAGACCCCCTTCTAGAAGGGCCCTCAGTTCCCGCAGCCTAGCATGTGGAAGGGGGTCACCCGTGCCCTCTCCCTACCCCCCCGCCACATCCCCCAGGGCCTTCAAAGGAATGCTTTAGGGTGGAGCCGAGGACACCAGCCCTCAGAGATGTCACAGGGAGTATTTTTAATTTAATAGGGAATAATTAAGACACAAAAAGGCATAAAACAACACAAGACATAACTGAGTACCCACCACCCAGTTAAAAAAAATAAAACATTAATTCTCCTTTGCCCTCAGAAGGCATCTCTTGAATTTGCACATCTAGGCACTCTCCCCTCACGGCGACAGCCCTGGGAGTTGATAGTGCACTCTCTGGATAGGACGCTGTCCCCAGCTCTCCGAAGAGGACACAGAGGAGAACAAGAATGCGGGTCCTGACCACACAGAGACAGGGAGTAGGGGGAGGAGAGACCCCTGGCCCTCCCACCGTACACGGAGGGATTTGAGCCGTGCAGGGAGGGCGAGGGGCGTTTCAGGCGAAAAGGGTGGGCCAGTCGGGAGGCGAGAGAAGAATATGGTCTCCAGAGTGTGTAAGCCTAGTTTTCCATCTTGGTCTCCCCCACTTCCAATGAAACATCAGGCAAGTTCCTGACCAGCTCTGAGCCTCATCTATAAAAGACTTGTAGGGAGGTTGAAATTACAGCCCGTGTGCAGTATCTGGCACAGTATAGGGATCCCACAAGCGTTTGCTCCAACCCCAGAGAGGCCAACTGGGGCTCTCATGAGACCTCTATGTCCCTCCATAACTTGACCTTTATAACCTGCCCATGGCCCACCCAACTCCCAACCATTATTTTTATGAGAGAATTTGCTACCGATGTGTTAGAGGACAAAGGCAGTGAGGAGGATTCATTCCTAGGGGATCCGGATAGAGATCAGATCTCCTCCTACGTCCCTATCATGCAGGCTCCATTTAGATACGAAGGGGTGGGATTGGGTTCCTGGGGAGAATTTGAGCCTCTTCACTTCTGCCGGGTCTAAATCCAGCAGTGCCTTGGTTACCC